TTGCAGGTTTGCCACATTTCTTGCACTGCAAAGAAAAAAATGCTATGCGAGGTGCAAAAAACTGCATTTTTTAAAGGTTAAAAAACATTTTCTTGCCGTTATTTCGTGTAACTGGTTACTTGTTCTCGAAGCATTTCCAGAACATACTCGAGCCCATGGAACAATATGTAGAGCCGATTGATGCATACCTACTTGGATATTTTGTCCTACGCAATAATAATATTTTGTCGTAAGTACGATGAAAGTTTTCCTTTCCTTTTTCTTCGGCTGGTTTGTTGCATGACATTTATAGTTATGTATGTATCTCATCAAAGCCAACCATCCTGCCTGCTTTTACGTCTGGTGGTGGCTTTTGGTTTGCACACGATGACACATCCGGCTTTGAGGATTTGAGGATTTGCTCTCAAAAATTCATACACTGCGAAAGTAAGTAAGTTCGACCTCGTCGACAGATATGTACACTCAAAATAAGATAGTAATGAATCATTACCATGCGGAATGACTATGTGGCTCTACCACGTCGGTTACGATTTGTCGTAGAAATGGTAATAATAAGTTCAGGGAAATTCAAATTCATTACCAAATATTAAGGAAGTGAATGCCATTATGTATTAAATACATTGTACATACATATGTATTTACCTAATTATTGCGTCAGATTATTTATCCAGGGATCGTTTTACATTCTAAATCTTACCGTAGCACTTGAGTCACATCTTCATGTCATGCATTTGCGAATAATAATTCTGCACGGGTCAAGTAGTGACGGACTCTGTTCTTAAACTCTATCATGTTACCGATGTAAAGTTTTTTTCATGTACCTTTATGGGCCTTAAGGCCTACACAAAGGCGGCAATAAATCTAATCTAATCTGTTTTTAAACTCTTATTCTTGGCAAGAAATGCCAAATTACAAAGCTGTCCGTCAAAAAAGTGGACATATTTCTTTATGAACTTTACCGTAAGTTAGATATTTCATTAGTTGAGACTAGTTTAGTTAAAATCGGAGAACATATGGTGCTGGGAGACCTCTAAATTCTTATATGATCACAAAATTACTGAAGGGTAATGGCCCTTATTACTGTGTCGGTCGAGTAGTAATGATTTAATACGAGTTTTCCAAGAATGTGTGTGCACATGAATTGTACACATATTTTTGAAAGTTGTGTAAATTACCACGTTTCATATCTTTCCATTTTTTCAACACGTATTTAATAATACTAATTTTATATAAATAAAATTTTTTATTAATAAATATGTATTCACGTCAAATAAAAGATTTGTCCACGACCAAAACACTGACAAATTCCACTAATTGCGTAGTTAATGAATAATAATAAAAACAATAAAGCCATTCATTGACAAGCACAAAGCTGTGACAGATTCTTTAAGATGCATGTTAATCCTGATTTAGGCCCATAATCGTGTCTGATGATTTCTTAGAATGAGCATATAAATATGCACATATCGGATTCGTCTTGATACTGAGATGCTACAAATGACACCGACCGAGTTGAGATGAGGATGACGCGAAATGAGGATTTTTTAGTTAATATTGCCATCTATAAAATCAAACTGCATACTTTGCAAACATGTTACAAGTCTCAATTCTTGCAAATATTTATGTATAAATTGCCAAAATTCAGGGATTTTTTTTGCAAAAGTTGTGGGTGTGGTTATCATAAATTCCTGCTGCTAACCCAGCAAATGTACCATGAAACTTCTAAACTTCACCGAATCACAGTTACTCTAACCACATTGCCAACTTGGCTAAAGACCTCCTCTTATCATTAACTTGTCGCAATGACCTTAACCATGCAGCCGTGCAAAAAATGAATATGCACAAAATGCAGTCGAGTCTAAATATGTATGTCACTTGCACTGGACTATATGCGTAACTTGCAAAATAAACCGGCATCGAACTTCAACTTCACTGCAAAATTTGCATATGTATGTACATATGCAAATTTTTGCACACATGTGTATGCACATATAAATAAACATCACACAACATGTGTAAATACATAACAGAAACCAGATATGTATACATATTATTTACACAACTCGTCGTAATGAGAAAGATTTGGATTTCATTCATTCATTTAAGCGTAATTCATTTAAGCGGCTGCGGAAGCGTGGCCAGAGGGACAGTGTCCCCACGGTTGTTCGATGTCCCCATCGTTTGCCCATGTTATACGTATGAACCCCTCCCTCCCAAAAATCTTACAATGTTATTGCCCCCAGATGTCCCCACAGCTTCCGCGGCCAATGTTTAAACGATTATATGGAATGACCGAGCATTAAACTACTCTTCATCTTACATACATCGCATGTAAGTAAAATTAGCTGCTTCTTTTACTCCTTAGACAAGACTTTGATGAGGCTGCATTAGTGAAAACTTATTCATGTTGTACAGTCAAGAGCAAAACTTTACGACATATGGAAGAGACTTTTGGGACATGTTATTCAAATGGGGAATTAAAGGCCGTAAAGTTTTGCACCGCGTACCTTTCCGAATAATTTTTTTAACGCTGTGATATAATTTTTATTGAATAAAGCGTGCAAAAGTAGGGGGTGACGTGGTAGATTATTTTTGTCGCCGAATTTTTTTCAAGGAACTACAAGGAATTGAAAGAATTAATTTTGGAAGAGACTTTTGGGACAACACATTGTGCTTATGGCTGTCCCAAAAGTCTCTTCCAAAATTAATTCTTTCAATTCCTTGTAGTTCCTTGAAAAAAATTCGGCGACAAAAATAATCTACCACGTCACCCCCTACTTTTGCACGCTTTATTCAATAAAAATTATATCACAGCGTTAAAAAAATTATTCGGAAAGGTACGCGGTGCAAAACTTTACGGCCTTTAATTCCCCATTTGAATAACATGTCCCAAAAGTCTCTTCCATATGTCGTAAAGTTTTGCTGTTGACTGTAGATATGCATAACCGACTATTTTTTTGTTTTGGCAATTTGATAACCTACTTCTGGATAAGTGACTGTTAAAAATCCCAGTAGTGTCTGTAGTGATTTGGTAGAACGGGAACATATGTAGGTAGTAGGTATGTACGTAGAGGATAAGTCAGGTTATCGATATGCTGCACAGACCGACTTGAGATGAGGATGACGCGAAACGAGGATTTCATAGGTAACATTGCCATCTACAAAGTCAAACTGAAGACTTTACAAAGATTTTACCACTCTCGATTCTTGCAAATGTGTAGAAATTGCCAAAATTCCGAGGAGTTTTTTTTGCAAAGTAGGTGTGGTTATTATAAATGCGTGCTAATCTGGAAAATGTACGCTGCTAAAATTGTGCTAAAGTCACATACACATATACCCTCGGTTGGTATAGATTTTGGAATAACTTCCTCCCGGATTGGTAATAGTAAGTGGTAAGGTTTCGTTACCACAACAGTATACGGTACGGAGTCATACATGAATACCGCCTGGTATTATTTTAACACTGGATTGCATACCGAGCAAGATGTATGTATATGTAAATGTCATATTAGTTTTTTTTATACTTTCGATATGGTTTATGGATAATTTTTTTGATCAGTTACCTACATCTAAAAATGCAAAAGGTGTATGCCTTTTAGTAGAATCTCAAAATATTTGTATGCAGATCTCATAAAACTTAGATTAATCTGATCGAGATAGGTAAGCAGATTTTGTACCTCAGAAGAAATAGAAATCATTAATCAATTTCCGAAATTATTTATCTTTAGATAATTGCGTTCCATTAACTAAACTGTTGCTTAACCTGTGCAAATTTTATAACGTTATTTTACGAACCTTAGAGGAGAAAATAAGGATGCATAAATTAAGTTGGTGTAACTTTGCAAATAATTAGAATTTTAAACATCATTGTTCTTCGTAATCTTTGCAAAATTAAAGGTTAACCATTTTTCCATTCACTATTTTAATTTTTACGGTCGCAAATAACAATCGCACAACAAAGTAAACACATCATTTTTGTGATTTATTTATTTATTTTGTTTTATTTTATTTTGGAAATCTTGGGTAAAATACATGTACATGCTGAGCAATGCAAATTCAGCGTGTTTAGTAACTAAAATAATTTAAGACGGAGACGTATATGAAATAATATTTCCTTTATATGTATTTTGTAATCAAAATATTTTAAATTCAAGCAAATAATATAAAACATAAGGAAATATTTACAAGAACTTTTTTAACCGAACCAACATTTTGCATGGAGTTGTATACGAATTTCAATAACTTTTTCTTTTAAGTTAACAGATTACAAATAATTATTATTTTTATATAATTTGGTGTTTATCTATGTATTTACATTTTTAAGCTTCATAGACATGATTTTACTGGGACACGGGGAAAATAGGTAGTCAAAGATTTCTAAACCCATAACTCTTTACGAACTACATTGTATCATATGACTAAGTTGCAAAATAATTACTACCCTGCTGCAGTGGAATACCTTTGGTCTCATTTTTATTACTAGTAAACCATACATTTCACGAGATATGTACGTACATATATTCGAGCAGTGGCCGAGGAAGCGTGGGGACAAAGGTACAATGTCCCAACGATTATTCGATGGCCCGACCATTTGAAACCCCTCTTTTCCCAATTCTACAATTTTATTGTCACCCATGGCTTCCGCTTGCATTCGAGCAAATTTTCAGGCCAGCGACGAGTACACATAATTTGTCTATTATGAAGATCAATCTGATTTTTTTTATTAAAATAGGACACGTGTCTTCACACGTGTGTCTGTCGTTAGACTAATATGTGTCATAGCTAAATAAGTAAAATAGATAACACACTCAAAACAAAACGGTGTCAATATATGACTTAACCGCGTTGGTTGCAATTGTGATTCCGAGTAGTAATGAATTTTTTCCGTCCGGTCATAACATTATAACTACCCGTATCAAAATCATCATAACTCGGATTCAACATTGTAACCAAGGCGGTTAAGTCATATATTGACACCAGCGGTGTTGATTCGACAAATTTTTATTTTGAGTGCATAAAAAAACATGTAAAGGGTTGGAAAGAACGAAATTAATATTTTAAAAAATGACGAGAAACGAGAGATTCCATTTTTCAGAATTTTTACATACTTCACAAATTCAGAAGGTCTTTCGCGAAGTGAGCAACATTCTGATGAAACTGTTTCATACATACACAAGATCAAATTTACTTTGGAAAAGTAAAAATTTGACGGAATATTTCGCCAAATATTTGCCAATTACATGAGATAACTTAATTCATTTTTAAAAAAAAGATTGATAAGTAAAACCTAGCGCATTTCAAGTATAAAATAAACCCTGACGCATTTTCTTAACTGAGTAATTAAAGCAAAGATCAAGAATACTGAATTATTTAACGAAATACATTCTGCAAAAAAATAATAAGTGAAAATTAAGCCTCAGTCGACAATAAGATTCATTACAGATCTATTTGTTTCTTAATTTTACAATGTATGTCTTCCAACGTATGTTCACAGATTTGAATCAAACTAGTGTCAATCGATCACAATTTTAATTAATATGGAATTTGCAAATGGAACTATCTGACAAGCAATGAAATACGTGTGATAATATCATAATGGAATTAATATCATCATTATTTCCAGTTTTACAAATTTGCAAATATAATCGTGACCCTATTTGTTTGCGAATTGCGGAATTTAGACTATAAAGTGAATGGACTAGCTACTGTTTGTCATTGTTTCCTACTCGTGTTAAGGGCACCGTTTCAAAATCAGTACATAATTTTCGTTCCTCATTATTAATTGAGGTATTAACGTCATTTTTGTATCACTTACTAATTGAGCCATCTTTATACTTTGTTTTGCTTAAAAGGAAAATATTTTTCTGGGCGCAAAAAACTGGACTTTTGGATTTAAAGCTTTCTTGGATAGTTTTTGGCATTGTTTGGTTTGGACGAATTTGTAGAGCAGGTCGATACCAATTTGTAATAAATATCAACAAACTGCCTTAAAAACCCAACCCTATTCTACTAAAAATTTGTCGTCCAGAATTATAAAATAAATTCCCAGAGCTGAGAAATTATTAAAAATGTGCTGATTTTGGTTACGCGTCATACTAAAAGTCATGAAAAATATCACTGATTCAGTAAACTCAAAAGTTTCCAGATAATAATATTTTAACCTTAATAGTTTAACCTAATTTTGCATCGGTTGGAAAAAATCGTGATTATTTAGTCAAATTGTACATCAGTCTTCCATTCTTGCCTGAATCGTAACTTGTAACAACCAATTACACACAAGATGATGGCAAACACGGTGATCACGACGTAGACAGTTATTACTACACCAGAAATCCAGATGCTTCCGGTGGGTTCTAAAGAAAATAAAACCGTTTTTTACTACGATTTCCAATAAGAAATTTTGTTACTAATTACTAATGACTAACCCGCCAACTTTATGGTCACGTTGTTCGAGACACCTCCGTCCCCTTGGGCGAAGAGTGTAAAACTTTGATTAGTTATTGCTGGGTTCAAACTTATGGTGAAGTTGAATCCTCCATCGTCCCCTACGTTAACTAAGAAGTCAGGAACTTCCGTGGAATTCTGGATGAATAAATGCGGTAGAAAAACTGATTAAAATGTCAAATTTTCTAAAATAATGTAATATCAAAATAGGTCATGGCGAAAATGCTGTGTCGTATTTTAAGCTCCGTTTGCATTTCCGGGGCTGCTACACCCACAAAAGGACGAGAATCTACATACATACGCCGAGAAGGAAGCAATCATACGAAAAGACTGGCGAAATATTTCATTTTCACGATTTAAAAAAAATTAAGTATTTTGACACCGATAAAAAGTTAATTTCTTCTCAAAACCGGGATTAGGTGACTCATCGTCACAGGTCTAAAAATCTTAACATTTTTACGCATTTCTCCGTTCTGGGAATTTATTTTTAAATTCTATCAGATCCATTTGTAGACCAGATCAGTACCAATTTATTAAAAATATGTACTCTAGATTTTGACAAGTTTTGAAGGAGGAGACCCAAAAAGAGTGAACACCTTCAGAAAAATTGGGTCTCCTCCTTCAAAACTTGTCAAAATCTAGAGTACATATTTTTAATAAATTGGTACTGATCTGGTCTACAAATGGATCTGATAGAATTTAAAAATAAATTCCCAGAACGGAGAAATGCGTAAAAATGTTAAGATTTTTAGACCTGTGACGATGAGTCACCTAATCCTACGTTAACACCCCCAGAAATCAACCCCCTTCGAACAACGGACCTCAAAATACATACCGTATTTCAAAATATTTTCGCCACCCCAGATAAATAAATATCCACACAATTAAAAATGTAGTTCACTCACCATAGTGTTTTCGTATAACACCAATTTTGCATGCAAGTCACCAGAAAGAATTCCTCTCACGCTGTGAACTCCAGGGGGAAAGTCGTAAACCACGTTTTCAGTCGCGTTAGCATTGCTTATCTTCTTCATTTCAAAGAGCTCGATGAGCGGTACCCCTCTGACTGGTTGGTAGATTAAAAACAAGAATAAATAAGTAATAAAAAATATTGCAAAAATGATAAGGTACACTCAAAATAAGGTAGTAATGAATCATTACCATGCGGAATCACTGTGTGGCTCTACCACATCGGTTACGATTTGTAGTAGAAATGGTAATAATAAGTTCAGGGAAATTCAAATTTAATACATAATGCTATTCACTTCCTTAATATTTGGTAATGAATTTGAATTTCCCTGAACTTTTTATTACCATTTCTACGACAAATCGTAACCGACATGGTAGAGCCACATAGTCATTCCGCATGGTAATGATTCATTACTACCTTATTTTGAGTGTACAAACTAAAATTTTGAATTTGAATACCTGTAGAATAAAACGAAATAGTGATTGGAGATGGAAAAGATAGGGCCACCGCCTTTGCCGTGATGCGAAGCAGCGTCCCTTTGGGGGAAGGAACGCCATCCAAAGATAACGTAATAAAGTGGGAAGCCCTCTCGAACTCAGTCGTCTCGGAAGAGACTCCTGTAATTTGCGAAACTCTTGTAGACAAAAATTTTGCAAAAATTTTTGCAAAATTTTTGCAAAAAATAATATACCTTTCAACACTACTCCATCGCTTTCCTCCACGGTTACAGAATTTGAATCCAATTGAAATCCTTTTTGGAGGTAAAATGGGTCGTGGAACGCGACACATCTGATGGAAAGGTTGATTTGTTTGCAATCAACAATTTGTAAAATTGGGACCACTTCTTGTCCAGGGTGTCCAATAATTTCTGAAAATCATATTTTTTTTAGTAATTCTGTATTTCTTCAAAATTTCAAAATTTGACAAACTATTTTGACCAGGAATGTATTTTTTACCTGGTTCCCAAGTATTCTCAGAATGTCTGAGCGTCACCAAAAGCAAATATTCGTCACTGGTCATGGCAAATGTTCCATCGGAATGGTGTAAATAGTGAATTCCGGTCTCCACCAGATTGTGTTTCTCACGGGGACATGTCTGAATGTTTGTGGAGTCCTGAAAATTCAATTTTTTAAATTTCCTCCTCGATTAGAAATTTTAATTTAGAATGAAGGTCCCCTCTCCGATTTCGAACAAATTAGGGTCAATCTATTACAAATTTTATTTGTATGAAATTTGCGATAGGCACGATTTCCCAATGGTCACGTCTAGCAGAAATATTTGTATCCAAAGTGGAGAAAACGCAGTATAAAATTGACCAATTTTACACGTTCTAAATTTTCTGCGCATTTTCTTCTCTTGGGATGTAAATGTCTCTGCTATATATCCGTGCCCCTTGGGAGATAGTGTCGTTTGCAAATTTCATATTAATTAACTTTTTGATCGATGAACACTAATTTGGTCAAAATTGGAGAGCATACGTTGGGAGTTGGGAGACCTCCGTTATAAGTTAAGTAACAAAGTGGGCTGGGCGTACTCACGTCAACCAACATGAAAATGTAAAGCTGTCGAGTATGGGTAAATTTTGTGGTGGAAAAGTTTTCCAGGACAAAATACATGGAATTTTCTATTCTAAAGTATGGACATACATATTTTTACCATCTCGTACCGATTTAATTTTTCTCTCAATTAATGCTTGAACCCCCGCCAGTCTTAGATATAAATTTAGCATGACATCGCAACTTGCGAAATTTTGCAAATTATTTCCTCAAAACCATTTTTCTCTGTTTTATTTCTCAACGATATTCCATCCATATCAACTAGAGTTAGAATTTCAATCACTAGAGATTCTTAAGTGATTGAAATTCCAATTGAACAAAATGGGGTATTACAGCTTTTTGCGAAATAATATTTTTCGAATCCAGTCTATGCTTTGAAAAATAAGTTTCCACCACGTTGTCGTGAGTACACTCTTACAAAAACGGTATTAAATCATTAATGACCGGAGTACATACATATATTACTCTTCTATCGGTAATAACAGGCATTACCGTTCACTGTTTTTTTTTACTGATCATGTACCCTCAGAAACAAACTGCTACAAACTCGGTAAGAAATTATTACCAAATCAATACCAGTACAGGGTATGTATGTACATATTTCACTCTCCCTAATTTCATCCCAAACTCTAGCAAATTTACTCACCAGTAATTTCCTCCGTGACTTCAAGGCAAAAAACAGGAAAATATCCTTTACAGGAACGAATTCCTGTAAAGTTTCTGAGGCGGAGTAGATCGAGAATGTTGACTCTGTCACGTTCCAGTCATAGCAGGTCTTCAGCACAGTTTCCCGTCCTGAAAAGGGGATGGTGGCGTCCACTTGTCCCCATGAAACGTGCGAATGTCCTTCAGTGTATAGGTCGGCCTCCTCATCCGTGTCGTTGATGGACATCATGTTGACGAGGATGGCGTCGCAAGAGGCTAAATCGTAGGCGGATTTACTTCCTTGAATTTCCACTAACGGGCACGCGACAAAGGTTTGCGAATGGTTAAAAGACGTTGGAATTGGAATGGTGTATTCGTAACGAGCGCTCCCATTTTGCATTCGTCCCGTCCACCAAATCTTGTGGTCGAGCAGACTTGCAAAGTTGGTCTGAGGAAAATTTAAGAAAGAAAAAACACAATTATAAAATAGACTGGAGTATTTATTAAATGGCGTCAGCCGCTTGTTGTGACCGCTTGGTCTGTTTGTGAGCAGGAACTTAACATTCAATATCTTTTAAGTGGTAGATCTATTTTTTATAATAATTTTGAATTTTTGGTGAATTTTTATTTTTTTAAATCTCGAAAGTACAATTTCCCAACGGAACTTATACAAGTCCTGATTCTTACAACTTACAGTCCTATGGCCCATAACGTAGCAACCCAAAAAGTCCTGTTTTGATCAGCGTGCACGCGCGCTCACCTGCTTTTGCACGGAGTCATGTACATAACTCGAGCAGGTGAGCGAGCGTGCACGCTGGCGTTTTTCCATCAAAACAGGACTTTTTGGGTTGCTACCTTATATCCCATACGACTGTAATAAGAAGATTGTACGAATGTGCTCCGGTCAGTAATGATTTAATACCAGTTTTGTAAATATATGTACATAAAAAACTGGTATTAAATCATTACTGATCGGAGCACATATTATTCTACCGACACGGTAATACCGAGCAATATCGTTCAGTAATATTGTTCCCACTCAGAAACAGACTACCACCAAGCGGAGAGGAAGTTATTAATAAATCAATGTATGCGAATCTACCAGAGTTTTAGCAATGTATTGAATGTTTATTTACCTCGTTATCTTCGAGCACGAATACTATACGTGGCTCTGGATAAGACGCAACGACCTTTGGCTCCTCCAGGACAACTTCGCCGTTTATTATGCGGGACCGAATCGGTACGCGTGCGGGTATAGCGTCAAAGGGGTAGGTACCGTTCCCTAGGGTAACTGCCCTTGTGATGCTGCTGCTATCAAGGTATCCTAGATTTACCAACCATGACGAAATAAAGACTTTGATCATGTAGGGTCAACTGTTAATTGCGATCATTTTATTCGCCCGTCTGTCTGTACACTCTTACACTCTTAAAAAAATCAATAACCGTTGGTATTGATACGTGACTCTACCGCGTGGTATTGATCCGGTATTGAATTAATACTACGTGGTAAAAAATTTAATACCAATTAGTATTAAAATTATTACCATAAGGTATAATTTCAATACCGGTTCTATACCAATATGGTATAACCGTTTAATACCAAGGCGGTAGAGTCACGTATCAATACCGTTACGTTTTTTTCAATACCAAGTTTCTAAGAGTGTAGAAATCCAGTATTTAAACAATACCAAGCGGTATTCATGTATGAATTTACCAAAGTGGTATTGATACATATGTAATACCGTGCAGTAATAGCTCGGCATTAATGTCTTACCATATCGGTAGCAAATTTTTACCGACCGGTATAATAATTTGCATACCAGGCGGTAGAAACTTTAGTACCGAGAAATCAATACCTGCCTGACTATACCAGATTTCTAACAGTCAGTCTAGGGATTGGCAGTGAATTCACCTGCTTTGGCCGTGAATTCACGGGCCTGAAAGTCTGCAGATTCACGGGCTTCAAGATAGGAAAAGCTGTGAATTCACGGCCCGGAAAAAAAATAATTTAAAAATAATTCTAGGGCTGTGAATCTGCAGCTTTTCCTATCTTCAAGGCTGTGATTTCACGGGCTTCAAAATTTTTGATTTTCTTTTTCGAAAATTTTATTTTTTTCTGAAAACTTTAAAAACAAACGCAGGGACTCAAAAAATAGTAAATTTTTTTATGAATTTAATGGTTTATCTATAAAAAAAATTCATCCATGCGAAATTCGAAATAACTCAATTTCAATTCAAAAAAATTAAATTTGTCAAGTAATGCACACGCTGGCACGTCAGACGCAAACAACAATACAAAGTAGTACCCTGAACGTATCTTGAATTTCATGCATTTTTTTTAATTGAAATGAACTGTTGACACAAAATTAAAATGCGGCCCCAATTGACCACGCCCCCATTGCGGGGCAAAGTGAGATTTTGGTCAGAATCAGCACATTATGAAAAAATACTAAGTTTAAACTGTGTCGGAGATTGACCCCACTTGACCACACCCCCGGTATGGGGCAAAGTGAGATTATGGTCAGAATCGAAATCTACTCACAAAAGAATGTGCAAATCCGTCACAATTTAAATTTGTGCATATGACCACCCCCACTTGAAAGGGGAGTGGTCGGAGTTCAAAATGATGAGGATTTTCGAAATCTATACACCAAAGAATGTGTAAAACCGTCACAAATTAAATTTGTGCATATGACCACCCCCACTTGAAAGGGGAGTGGTCGGAGTTCAAAATGATGAAGATTTCGAAAATCTTTATCATTATGCACAATATACAGATAGTACAATTAAAACGTTAAGTATGTAATATGACTTAAGATAACCATTCAGCGACAGCCAACCGTGCTAACTGACTGTTCTGATGTGAAATTCACGGCTCTGGAAATTGTATTTTTCCTAGCCGTGAATTCACAGCTTTTCCTATCTTGAAGCCCGTGAATCTGCAGCCTTTCAGGCCCGTGAATTCACGGCCAAAGCAGGTGAATTCACTGCCAATCCCTAGACTGACAGTGTATTTTCAGAACACCTAAACATATTTGCTACTGTATGGTATTAGAAATACCGGGTTATTACTGCACGGTATTATTTATCAATACCAGATTAGTAGAGTCATAAACATATGAATACCGCCTGGTATTATTATTTTAATCCTGGATTTCTAAGAGTGCAGGCAAACGTTTTTTTCATTGTGCATCAACATAATTTTAGTTCTCGGTCGGGTTCATTAATGGGTTGAATCGGAATACTTTCCACAGTGCGAGGGGGTGTGGTCCTTAATTTCCATATGTGATATCATTTCACCATTATCTTGATGCGCTGTAAAGTTACTATTGTGCTGAAGGACGGACAAACTCAGAGCTGAAGCTACGAAATAATTCGACTTACGGTCAACCAAAGGACCAGGACCAGCCAAGCCGATAAGTTGGACGAACAGGACGAACATTGTTCTGCAATATGACCAATTTTTTAGTAATAATACTTGTAACTCGCATTTAATCTTGATTTAATTGAAATCCCTACATTCGTATTACTTGCAATGGAGCTCCCAACGTACAATGACAGATTTGGACCAAACTAGTTTCAATTAATCACAAATTCAATTAAATATGTTATTAAATATGTTACAAAGTACAATATATTTCATACAATTTAGTATGCAATTTGCAAATGGCAAGATTGATGGAGATATTTGCATAAAAACGAGATCAAAGTTGTCAACTTTCCTCTTTTTCCCCCTTTTATGCAAATATCTCTGCCAAATTTGCGCATTGGCAAATACTTCTATTTGCAAATTGGCAGATATTTCCGTTTGCAAATTTCATATTAGTTATATTTGTGATCAATTGAAACTAGTTTGGTCCAAATCTATGAGCATACGTTAAGAGACCTCCATTGTTAGGGTACTATTTTTGTAATTCTTATCGAATTTTGGATAAGATCTTTACATAACTGTGGTTAATTGTCCAAAATGTATTCACTATACAAAATTTCTGTCATGAATTGGCGACTAGTTTGTATTAGCTGATATTTGGTGACAAATTTGAATTTGGAGTTGAATAAAAGTTTACATACATACGTACATACATTAAGTTACAAAGTTGTGAATGAAAGCAGCGGCGATTCATGGAGTCCTTGGTAGCATAACATTGTAAAATCCGTAAACTTTTACAAATCTCTACGAGGAAAATTAAATAACTTGTAAATTTTTGTAAACTTGTATACTCAAAACGGGGGCGTCTTTTTATTTTGTAAAAGTTTGTAAAATTATTTCATAAAACTTACAGATTTTATAAAGTTATGAAGGACTACATGAATTGTAATATTGGTTTTATTTTAGATTTTCAAAATTTATTTCTGAGTGTTTTATGGAAAATTTAGTAAATTAAGAACTATGCAATCCTAATATATTTAAAGGATCTTGGACTATAAGGAATTTTGCTGCGTGATAACTTAAAATTAAAAGCGACGTTCAAACTAGACAAAAATGTTACTGTAATATGGATTTTTAATTGAATCAATAATCGATACACAAAATTAAGACGTGGTTGAGTCTACAATTTTCGAAATATTTACAAAATTTTATAGATATTTAAGAAAAGGCGTACATAAGCGTGTTACTGTTTTACAAACATCCCTGTGAATTATATTGAGGAAATGTGCTTGCACAGGCTTTGGCAATATTGTGAAACCCGTAAATTCCGCAAACTTACAAAATTTTATACATATTTCTAAGGAAAATTAGCGTGCAAATTTTTACAAACTTGCTCATATCAACGGCGTCTCATATTTTGTAAAATTATGGGACAAAACCCACGCAGTTTACAAAGTTACCAATGAATTGCCAAATTCGAAGTGTCCTATCTATTTAAATTTACAGATAGACTCAAAATAAGGTAGTAATGAATCATTACCATGCGGAATGACTATGTGGCTCTACCACATCGGTTACGATTTGTAGTAGAAATGGTAATAATAAGTTCAGGGAAATTCAAATTTAATACATAATGGTATTCACTCCCTTAATATTTGTTCATGAGTGTAGAAAAGGATATCAGGTTTTAGCTACACTTACAATTTTAGTGTTTGGAATAAATAATTATCGCGTTAATTAACCTCACTCCTCACAAGATATGGGACCACGTTGCGTTACTAAATTTCCGAAATCTTCTGTACGAATTTTACGTTCAAAATGTACCTCTCTCGTTCTGAAATTGATCTTTTTTAGCATAATATTTTGCTCGAATTTCACGTCAAATGGTTTGTAATTTAAGCTCTTGGTATTATTGACGTGAATACCCTAAATTAAAATTAATTTCAGAAATACGATAAATAAATTCACGCAGTCCTTAATAACTTTGTAAAATACGTAAATTTTGTAAAGACAATGTTACAAACTTTTAGAAAATAGAGATCGGAATAAGTTAACAGAAATTTGTGAGCTAATTTTCTTCAGAAATATTTGTAAAAGTTGTAAACTTTTATAAAGTTACGAAGCACTTTATGTGAATTTTCTCAATTTCTGCGTACTTCCTACCTTGAATTCACTAGGTTTTTTCGTCAAATTAGATTTTGATCCGCTCCCACAAAGTTATTTTTTCAAATTCATAACCAGTGTTTCGCTTTTGCCGGCTAAAATCGTTTTTTGTTGGCCAGTGGTCAAAAGTGGTCAAAAGTGGTCGAAAGTGGCCAAAATGGTAGAAAGTGGCCGAAAGTGGTCAAAAGTATTCTATTGGCTAATAATTTGCGAGGTGGGTTTAAAAAGACTCTCGTCCCTTATTATTTATTCTTTCTTTGCACGAAGTACATTATAGTTCTGACAAAGTAATTGAAATAATCTGTAATAATTATCACTCTAATAAATTCAACGTGGACAAATATAGTAAGTAATGTATACATTTGCTTGATACTAGAATATTATAATGGCTCGTTGATCAATTCGTAGCTATTCCTGGGTCAATTAATGATGCATTGCATCAGACGCAATGTGTAATTTATTGCTTATTTGTAGAGTTAATAACCAATTTTAAAATTTTAGATCCAATCAAACAGCGATGTCACATATAAATAGCCGGCAACTTATTCTGCAAGATACTGGCGAAATCCTCAATATCCTTAGTAAAATCATTAACTTATCATTATTCCTTGTCGCAGAATGCCCCATTTTTGCATTTTGACCACTTTTGACCATTTGTCACCTATTTTGGCAAGTGGCCAAAAGCCACTTTTGGCCGCTTTTGACCGGCGGTCTGGCCAATCTGGTTTTTGCCAAGCGTAACACTTCGAAAATTCCCACAAATACGGAAATCTTAAAAGAGTGTCACTAAGGAATAAAAACAAAACTTTTGTTACACGAGATGGGAATAAGTCGACTATTTTTAAAAGAAGAATGACAACCTAATTAACACAAATTAACAAATTTCTACAAGTACTGAACTGGACATTACAGAGTATCGTTAAAAAATAATTATAATAAAAATCAAGTTTTTTTAAGTACACAAAGAGGAAAAAAAATCTAAATCTTTCCTACGTTATCTTGTCGTGGATGAGTCGAGCTGAAGATGTTGACTGACTCATCATCAAAAATTCGCACTGGACTAATCCATCCCAAATCTTACTCCTACTTCCATGAAACACAAATTCTACGCTCGTGAGACAAAGATTTTTCTGAGGGTCGTTTATACATTACGTTAAATCCAGCCGTATTAATAACACCGTCACCAAGATATTTATTACTCGTGCACAACGTAATTTGCGTACGAACCGTGGCGGTAAAATAATGATTTTTCTGATGATTGGAGACATTTTAATAAACTTCAGTAAACAGTAAAATGGGCAAGTTACGTAAGTACGGACCAGGTTTTAGCCTCGCGAGGAGATGTGAAAGGGTTTATCAAAATTTGTGCACTTTTTTGAACCTTCGCAAATTAAAAAAAAGTGATTTCGTACAAAAATATGGCCAAAATAGGGGGAATTATTCAGTGTGAACAAACAGTTTAAAGAGTTCTTTTACTATGTGTCGTTGTCATGACGACCACACCCTTTTCTCCTCGTTCCAGACATTTTTTGGGTTATCATCCAGGTAGCCCAGTGTTTATGTATGTGTCTCACTCACGCTTAATTTGTGCCATCTTAAAAATCAGAGCTATACGTATCAAATTCAAATGCAGCGTGTCGCTAGTAGTCAGCGCAATTTTTGTGTTTGCCAATTTGGCACAATTTCCGCTTCAATAAATGCCTACATAACTTGGCTCTTTCAAGTTTAACTATGCAAACAATCATACAAAGTGTGGTGTTGAGTTGATGCGTGTAACAGAACCCAGAAATAAACTTGACACTAAATACTTACTCCTCGTGAAGAGCGAGGCTTAAAGCTAATTTGCTTAAATGAAATGGAAACTGTCAAGTTTAAGTTACTCACCGCACTTTGATAACCCCGTTCTAGCAAGGTTAAGTTATCAAACACATGCACTCTTTAACCGGCTTACCAACCAACCAGACTTAAACAACTTAACGAAGAGCACACATACACAGGAAATCTTTCTATTTCTTACAGTAAATTCTTTGAGAAGAAGCTGCTCAACCTCAGGACTAGTCTTCGTCCACGAAAGTTGGAATAAAATGAGCATCCAGAGACCCAGTTTTCCAGTCGTTTTATACTGCAAAACAATTTTACACGGACACAATAATATCTGTGTGTATGTACAAACTGTACTCGTATGTATGACATCAGCTAATCCTAAGAAGTCGGAGTGTCGCATTGAATCAGGGAAAGTTAACTACATCCTTCCTAATGAATGTCATGTAATAGGCGTGTTTATGGCTCATACCACTTGTCTCGGCCGATTCGATTTTTTGACTGGCCAGAATATTTTTCTTATGACAATTATTATTTTTACCTGATCTTTACAACTGGTACCCATTTTTTACCACGCCTTTCTTCAAGTTATTGGTTGGACATAGCGCAGTACTACTCCGCCCATAAGGACACAAGCTTTTGGAACTTTTACTGGACGTATATAAAAGCCAATTAGGTACATAAGATGACTCATTAAAACTTGAACATCTCTAATCGTAAGACCTACGGTCTGGTCATACCCTCACCGCGTACGTGGCACACGGATTTTCATACGTAAAAAAAACAACTTCCAATTTCATTAAGAAATGCATTTTAAAATATGCACTGTTAAAAATCTGATGGAGTGATATATATACTCTGTACTGGTATCGATTCGGTATTAACTTCCTCCCGGATTGGTAGTGGTTTGTTTCTGAGTGGTAACTTTTTCATTGCGACAAAGACACTTTAGTAAGCAATATTGAAATACGTAACTATATTGAAACACTAAATAATGATAATGATGAACAATTACAAATTAATGTTGACACTGTATCTCAAATGATTGCAGAAACTAAGAATAAGAACAAGAATGATAACAAGTATGTACCAGTATGGCTTATGAAGAAATGTACTTTACCTTTTAGTGCTCAATTAACAGTATTATTCAGTTTCATACTTGGAACTATGTATGTACCTACTATTTTTAAAACATCAACTATTGTACCCATTTACAAAGGTAAAGGCAGTCGAAATATTGCCAAGAGTTATCGACCAATTGTGCTTCTCAATGCGTATTCCAAAATATTTGAAAGGTTTTTGTACTTTGCTTTGTAATTTGCTTCTCGGCTTTTTTAAATGATGTAAAATTAGCCATTGTTATTAACTTTTTATGCTATGCAGATGACGTCATAATTTATGTAGGATCGGATAGCATTGATAACATTGTACAAGAACTACAAAACTGCTTTAACAAATTTAGTGAGTGGTGTATTGAAAATGATCTGAATATTAATTATGACAAAACTAAGTGTATGTACTTCCACAATGAAAGAGTACCGATAAAGGGCGATGTTAAACCGATAATTGTTAACGATCACATTATAGAGCGAGTTATGTCGTTTAAATATCTAGGAATCACTCTTGACCCTAGTTTAAATTTTAAATTACATGATGAAACTGTATTTTCAAAAGTCTGTCAACGGATAAAAATCCTGCATGGTCTTAAACGCTCAATTAGTGAGCAGGCAATGCGTGTAATTATTAACACTCAGGTACATTCGGTTATTGATTACTGTATTGACATATGGACGGTACAGACATCCCTGTCACTTAGCAAGATTCAGGAAGTCATTGACAACTTCCTCTTAAGTTATTATTATCCTAAGCTCGCAAAATTACTATCAACTAAGAAAATCACTTTAAAAAGTCTGCGGAAAAATATCGATATTCAAAAAATCAGGAATGATAACAAAATGCTTACGGTTGAACAGCGATCGAAATACGTACTATTAAAGAACACGTATAAGATGTACAAAAGTAACAAATTAATTTTCTCCGAGAGAACGTTGAACAACAAGCGCCCGAATATGTGCGCCCCGACCCATAGAACAGAAGTATTTAAGCGTTCAACATTGTTTAGAAGATACTGTTTATGGAATACTTTACCCAAAGACTGGGAATTATGCAACATGTCCTACGGATTGTTTCAATCAAATGCACGTGAGTTTGTAACTGGTCAAATAAATCACAATGGACCAGATGTTAACAATTTATAATTATAATATTATGACAACAAATTTATATATAGTTATATGTAGATTAGTACAAATTTTTATTATTGTGTCTTGATCTGAAAAGCAGTGTATAACTGATGATTCGCGACACTTGAATAAACTACAGTAAACAGTAAACAGTAAACAGTAAACAGATGGCTGATCGGTAATGCCAGCTATTACCCTGCCGGAAGAGTTACATATGTATGTACTCCGGTCAGTAATGATTTAATACCAGTTTTCTAAAATTACGCAATTAAGAAAATGAATAAAAAATGTGGAAATTTTCGAAAAAAAATGATTTCCCAATAAACTAGAGGCCAGGAAAGCGTTAATAAATTATAAACATTGAAATCTTGGCGAATCTTTAAATGCTATGACTCTCATTTTAAATAAGTGGGTGTCTGCCTGCCTCGCGTAGATGGATGATAATGCACTTATCAAAGGGTATATGGCAATCATGATATCAAATTACGTAAAATTGAGTCTCCATTCTGTTATTAATCTGTTCTTTTAGAGAATAAAATTCACTAAATTAAACCCTTAAAATTATCAACTTGAATTGGTTCTTGTTTTCGTTTGCCTGTTCGATTACGTAACAAAAAATCGTATCTTGTCTCTTGCTTCCTACCACAAGAAGCTGTTTTATTCCCTTTCCATTCACGTCTTCATACGCCATTAGCCCTGCTGAAAACATGTCTTGTGCATTCCAGCCTCTTCCAATTCACTCTCTGTCACAATTAAATATTCAGTTTGAACGACAAAAATATGCAAATCAGGTCAACCCAGGTACTTGACTAGATGCTTAAGCAGTTGGGCAGCCGTATGAAAAATAAAATACATACACGCATTTTATTTCACTTACAAACTTACACTTTATAAGTTGTGCTGAGTTCGAAAGGACCTACAAAAAATCTGTGCCACTCAAATACATAATTGGTTTATTAGGGCTGAATTAAAACCAAGATTATGTATGCAAGTAAGTATGTACCACGTGGTATATACCACGTGGTACATACACATTTTCAATTAAACTCACCTACATATCTGTGAATTATACACAATTCATATCCACAATCTTGCATAGTCAGGCAGGTATTTCACATTCCTTCAACACTGGTAATGGAGGTTTCTCAGCGTATTCTATCCGATTTTGACCAAATTAATGTCAATCGATCACAAATTTAATTAGTATGAAATTTGTAAAAGACACCATCTCCCAATGGTCTGGTTGGGCAGAGATATTTGCATGAAAAGAAGAGAAAACGCACAGTAAAATTGGAAGCTGTAATATTTTATCATCTTTACGATGCTTTTTCTCCTCTTTAGATGCAAATATCTCCGCCAAACCTGCATATTCGGACCATTGGGAGATCGTGTCTTTTGCAAATTTCATACTAATTAAATTTGAGATCGATTGAGACTAGTTGGGTTAAAATCGTAGAGCATATACGCAGAGAGACCTCCATTATTAGTGACTATGAGAACTCATAAATTCAGTCAGTTTGCTCAGCAGGGCAAGCCAATTGACTGTGTAATACATAGAATTATATCCCCAATTTCAAAATCCACACATCAAACTAGAAATAAAGACTCTGGTTAAGGATGTCCCATTAATTTAATCTCCATAAAAATCAAGTAGTTTTATTATGCGAGAAATAACAACGAAAAATCCACGTCAGTCCAAAAGGAACAGGAAAAAAGCATATCATATTTATCATTCAGCAGACTGAAGCTATGTAGCAATAAGTACGGTTAAGTAATTATTGTGTACATCAATTCATGCACATATTTTGAAACTATAGCATATCGATGTGCTACATTTATCCTTATGAACATGACATGACGAGGACATATGGATGAGGATGACGCGAAATGAGGATTTTTAGGTAATATTGGCATCTACGTATACAATCGAACTGAACACTTTTCAAATATTTCACAACTCTCGATTCTTGC